GAATTTTTTTTTTTTTTTTTTTTTTTTTTTTTTTTTTTTTTTTTTTTTTTTTTTTTTAAACGTTCGCCACAGGACACAATAGCGCCAGTGCGAGAGTACTACCTATCAATGGAGCCGAGTGGGATTGCTCTAGAATAGCCAGTGCTTGGAAGGCTCTGGTCCCTGAAAGCCTCGTTTTGAAAGCCTCGTTTTTTCCTCTCCCGCTCAACTGCGTGTCGGCGATTGATTGCACAAGCATGGGTACGCAGATAAAGGAGCTCTCCAGATTTGGACATCAAATGTACTCACAATGGGCCTGGGCTATCATAACAAGCCGTAAGGAGCCGTTATTATTACCTAGCTTATAAACTGCCCTGCTGCTAATACGCTTTCAAGTACCGGCACCGCAGCAAAGCTAGATCCTTATAATCCCACTGGGAGCCATCTGCAAACAGGGATGCAATGATGGTTAGATTCACGATCTGTGCCTTGGCATTAATTTCCCAGAGAAACAGGCTACTCCGTTCCAACAACCGAGATGGATCTTACAGAGGAAGACTCACCTTGGGCTCTTACGACGCAACAAGAGTAGAATGCCGGCTCATGAGGTGGCTAAGAGGCTGCGAAGCGCTGACTCGAGACCACAGGATGATGGCGGTACATAACAGAACGAACGCTGGCCAAGCGTATGCGAGCCTAGAATCGCCTCGACGAGATGTATCATCCCTGTTCTATGCTGCTGTCCTGTAGCAACAGGGCGCTATACGAGTAAGATCACACTTCTGAGAGGTGCGCGCTATCGAGGTAGCGCCTTGAGATTTGGCGCCATGTGCCGAGTGGGAATGTCTGGTTTAGGGCTGTCATATCGCCATCCAGTCCAAATTCGAACAAATCAGAATAGAACGGGGCGCCTAGCAAAGAAAGAAAACAGCCATATCGTGCTCATTGCAACCTAGCAAGCAAGATCTACGGGAGGCTGCCTCGCCTCGTTGTTGGTGGCGATCCATTACTTTGGTGGCCTGCTTCTTCTCAACTAGACTACCAACGCTCTCATAAAGCTCCTTCGGACCACCCCAGCCGGCAACTGACTTGGCGTCAAGGGTTTACTGGACGCCCTCTTTGATGCTTCGACCCATCTCCACAGAGAAACAGAAACGAGAAAAAAGACGCAGGGTCTTTCAAGGGTTGTCCATCGCGAAGAGTGGGAATATAGCCAACTCTTTGATAGACGATGGGGACTGGTACTACTGCCGGTAGTACTAGCACTACCTACTGGTATGGTATATGAAGAACTGAAGTGGCTTCTAGAGCGCTCGGTGCCGGTACGCTGGCAGATCTCGGCCGCAAAGGGGAGGTAATACGGAGCGGTACGAGGTCTGGCAGCGTCGGATGACCAGCAGGCCTTGGAGGGATACGACATGATACCACTATGCCATGCCATGCCATGTCGTGCCGCGGAAAAGGGGGGCGTTTTCTGGGAAACGGCTAAAAATTCGATCTTGGCAGCTCCTCCACGCAGATAGACGCTGCACGAATACGACTACATGAAGTACATTGGTTGTATATGTCATTGACAGGTAACAATGGCACTCTGTGCTGCCGAGTGTCAAGACTAGACGGGATATGGAGTTTTGCCATGGCTGTATTCCGCTCTCTACAGTATGTACCGCCACGCATTGTCCCGGACTGATGCTGCCGTGTCCCTCTCGACTGGGTCAGATCCAGATGCCCGGTACAGTAAAGCGGAATCAAAACAAACAATCGGTCACAGGTTGACCCTATCTGTGCTGGGCGGGCGTCGTCTGTGTGCCCCGTACGTATAGGAGCATTATTAATTGCAGTATTAGGGACCTTCATTGGCAACCTTCCTTGGCCAATATTCCTGTCAACTGGTACAAACATGATCGCTCTGCTATGGTGTAGGTACTTTGCATCTCATATGGATTTATGTACAATATGGGGTCTGCAAGTGCAAAGTGCTGATTTGGGGACGTTGCATGGAGGTTGCGAGCCTAGGGTCGGCTGTCAGACGTGCATGCATTAGGAAAAAGACTGTACGAGGCAACGGCACCTCGAATAACATGCTACTATGGGCATTACGAAATAATGCCCGCAGACGCCATGCCCGCGCTTTTGACGTCTCCGCTGCAGCCGCGAATCATGGACAAGGTTAGTTGAAGGAATGATTCAGCACCCTTTGACGAGCTTCTCGTGTTGTCCTTCTGTGCCTATCTGATGGCTAGATTGATACTGTACTGTAGCACGCATGCCACGAAAGCGGAATGTGGACTCGATATACATGGAGCCTAGGCTTGGCGTTGACGCAAGACTTCTGCGCTGGCGCTGCGGCTGGGAGTCGGAGCTGATGGGCAAGTTGAAGCTAGAGAGCGGTAGCCTGCTCCAAGACTAAGTTTGAAGCCTAAAACATGAGCGCCGGTGCTCCAAGTGGGCTCGCTAGCAAGAGCTTGGACTCTACGCCATCGGCGGGATCTTTGGTGTTTTGAGCACATACTGTTCTGGTGCCTACTGCAAGCATGCAATAATCGATACTACTAGTATTTTCGATCCATCTTGTGAGAGGGAGCCACGTATCCAAGGGAGCTCAGCCAAGGCTCAATCGAGCTTCAGCTGGATCCCTTCTGAGCCCGATTGAGGCGCCTTTCTCTTGTTTGATCTGTTTTAGCCCCGGCGCTTCTGATTCCCCCTCCTCTCCTAGCGGGATGATGAGGCTCTCTCTGTCCAGAATACCCCACTGCTTTAGCCTTCAGCTGTGCTGGATAGCAGCGGTAGCCCGGAGTCTACTGGGCGCCGGAGCAGCTCGAGGCAGCCTTGAGCCTGAATTCGACGCAATGGCGGCGTGCATGGACGGTGTTTTTGTGATTCTCTCGGTGCTTCTCTGCCCCTTGGGATCCGTTTCTTGCTTTGGCGGGTGTTTGGCGGTGCGGTGTTTTGTGCCTGGAGTCTGGCGATGGGTTAAAATTAAAATCAACATTAATTACAGTACAGCCAGTGACAGGCGCCAACAACGTGTCGACTGCGCCCACGGAGCCCGCTAACTACCGCCCGCTGGGGGAATACACTTTTGGGGCGGTAGGTTTGATAGCACGTTTAGTCCACATTGCTTGTGCCTGTGTACCTGAACTCTCGCATATTGCCCGTCAGCTTAGTTGACCCCCCTTTACGGCCAACCTTTGTGCGGCGACTGCCTGATACATAATGCCAATGGCAGAATCTATCCAGCTGCTTTGATGGGTGGCGCCGTGAATGCAGATGCTAACATACAAGTGATAGATGGCGTAGATTTGATTCTTCCTACAGTTCCAACATCAATGCTGACCGGGTGTCTGCAGATGCAGTGGCAGGGAGTCCGCAGTGGCAGGGAGTCCGCAGCAGACGGGCTTTGCAGCAGCTGCGTGTGGCATTGAATTGAACATGAAGCTTACAGCGGTCCCCGTCCGCTGGACCTGTGACCTGTAGCCTGCTGCGCGCGCCTAGCCCTCGCTGAGCCGTAGCGCTCCGCCCTCCACCTTCTCCTCGTGCGGAACCTGCCATAAGGGTACATGTACCCAAGCCGTGGCCCTGTCTTGCCTGTCTCGGCCTGTGGAATTTTCCCTCCTTGGTGAACATCGCTGGCCCTCCCCCAACTTCTAGTCGCCTCTCCTCCTCCACAATCCTCCCGGCCAGCAAATTCCCAGCGTCGTCTCTGCTTTGCTGCTGCTGGCGCAATTATTGTTATCGCCACTATTCGCTCGCTGAACCTCTTCGCCGTGGGTTTTTCTCTTTTTATCCGCGCCTTTGATCGCCAGACTCTCAGTCGCTACAAAGGCCAAAACGGCCAACCAGTCGCTCGCTTTCTCTGCTGTGTCGTAGGACGCCGCACTACCGACGACCGCAGTTTCAGGACCTCGGCGCGCAATAGAGCTCAGTTTGGCATCGTCACTTACTTGCTGCCGCCAGAAAGAGGTGTTTGCCGGATTTATACGATACCCAGACTTTCTTTTTAATCTTCCTCTTCTTTTCTACGACTGAAGAAAAAGGGCAAGAAACCTGTCAAAGGCGCCAACGCCAAACGCCCGCTGCGCTCCTCGCATTTGTTCAGACTGGCTCAAGTTGAAAGGCGTCGTTTAGCGGCAACCACACCACAGCCAGGCGGATATACCTCCTAATACCACGTGCTGCGAGACCTCCCCCCTTTGACCCTGACTAGTATTTACAGAGGTTAAAGAGACGACGAGCTCCTTCGACGTGCGCCGGCCCGTCCGCCAACACCATGGCCGCAGCCACTGCCTCGCCGCCTCTGACCTCAGCTTCTCCCGGTTCGCCTACCCAACGTGACTCAGTTTCTATACGACAGAGCCTGTCGCCACCAAGGAAACCCGTCGCAGGAACTATACGGAAGCCTGTTCCGCAACTGTCGGCGGCCGACGATTCCGAGAGAAGCTCGTTCTCGCAAGAAGCGCCGATATCTCCTGGCCAGGCGAATTCGCAACAAGATGCTCAAGTCCGGCCTCTAAGTCTTGGTCTTGACAGCGCGCCTCAACTTGCAGAGGACACTAGCTTTGGGTCTCTCGCCGATTTTGGCTCGCAGAGCCAGGAACACTCGTTTGAGGGACTGCTAAGCACTCCCGTCTCCGGCGGCCTTGATCTACAACTCCCGTTTATTGAGGCGTCGCAGCGGCAGTCGTCCCAAGATGATGTTTCTAGCCCAGCGATTGTTACCAGTCCCCCTAAACCGGACCGTGACCCCCCGCCTGCTCCTGTAGCTGCGGCTGACAGAACTGATTCGGCTGCTACCAGCCCTCAGGAGCGCATGGGAAAGCAGGATGTTTACAGAAACAGCCGTGAGTCTGATGAGGCGACCAACACCTCTCAGGAGCCCATTTCTTTCAAATCTTCAGCAACGACAAGCGCAAGTTCATTATCAGGCATAAACGAAGGACCGGAATATCTCCCTGAAGAAGAAGACTCTCCCGGCAGCTCCATCATCGAGGGTAACCTGCCTCGAGGCCAACACGCTCCGTATCGCAAGCAGGAGCACCCGCCCCGCGTCTCCAGCGTTCCAAATGAAGCCAATCGAAATCCTTCCAACCCAGAATTAGTTGATAGTGCAGGCAACATCAGGCGCCATCTGACTCCCACATCCAATAACCTCAGGAGAAGCTCACTGTCACGGCCCCAGTCTGCCTACTCTGTTCTTTCGGATGGGCAGCGGGGGCGGTCGCCGGCATTGATGCCTGGAGGCTCACATATGCGCGCTCCATCAGTTCAGTCGCGAAAGTCACCAGATGTTCGCCTTTCGACGTACGCTGAGCTTCTCAATGTGCCTTACCCTCAACAAGCACCTCCACCCATCACAATGGACAATTCGGGACTTCGAAATGTAGTTGGCAACAACGCCTCATTACTTAGCGTGCAGAAGACGCTCGAGATGTACCGTCAGAATGTCAAGAAGACCAACGATTTTACCGTGCAGTATTCCTTTGCCGTCTTTCTGATATCTGTGGCCCAGGAGCAGGGACTGGACTTTTCCAGCCCCAAAGGCCGCAAGAACAGCCCACAGCCTTTCCGCGACCTGGACAGTCCAGTTGTCGAGGCTTCCGTGGCCACTCCTCCTGAGCTGGTCCGGGAAGCTAAGCAGATCTTGCAGCGCTTGTCCAGCGCAGGCTACCCCTTTGCGCAGTACTATCTTGCCGACGGCTATGCTTCAGGTCTCTTCAACAAGGGCAAAGAAGACCACAACCAGGCCTTTCCTCTCTTCGTGATTGCTGCAAAGCACGGCCATGCCGAGTCTGCCTACCGAACGGCTCTCTGTTATGAGTTTGGCTGGGGATGCCGGAAAGATCCTGCCAAGGCGGTCCAGTTCTTGCGTACCGCTGCCGCCAAGAGGCATCCGGGTGCCATGACGCGCCTTGGTAAGGCTTGCCTTTCCGGAGATTTGGGAGAGAAAAGATATCGCGAGGGTATCAAGTGGCTGAAATTGGCCTCTGAGTCTGCTGATGTGCAGTATAATGCTGCTCCCTACCAGCTGGCATGCTTGTATGAGACGGGTTATGGTGACGACGTATTCCGCGATCTCAATTATGCGGCCGAACTGTTTACACAGGCTGCGGAACTGGGTCACCCAGAGGCCAATTTCCGCATGGGTGATGCTTACGAGCATGGAAGCCTCAACTGCCCCCGAGACCCGGCACTTAGCGTTCATTTCTATACCGGTGCTGCTGAACGAGGACATGCACCGGCCATGATGGGCCTGTGTGCGTGGTACATGGTTGGTGCTCCGCCAATGCTGGAGAAGGATGAAGAAGAGGCGTATGAATGGGCTCGCCGATCTGCAGATTTGGGTAAGTTGGCAAGCATGTGTTTCTATCGTTTCAGACTGTAACCGATCACGACCGCTAATCGCAACCTCTTCTTTGGTTTAGGCTTTGTCAAGGCTCAGTACGCAGTTGGATACTTTACCGAAATGGGTATTGGATGCCGACGAGACATTCTCGAGGCCAATGTTTGGTATGTCAAGGCCGCAGATGCGGGCGATGAGAGGGCCAAGCAGCGACTGGCCATTATACAAGCGGCCGTCTCTGGCCAAGGAACTCCCATGGATGTTGCCTCTCCGAAGAACGCCAAACTAGCAAAGGGAGGCAAGGACGATAAGGATTGTATCGTCATGTGAAAGAGAGGAGAAGAGGAGAAGGAAGAAAGAAAGAAAGGGGAGAGGCAACGATTTTCAACCTGACAAAAGAAGACGAAACAACGTGATTATGAAGAAAAAAAGGAAGCACGATTTCAGGCGGTCATGGGCGCAACTAATACGAAACAAGCGAGTTTTGGATACTTAACAAACGGCCTGTTCTTTGGATATCTTGAGAGATGAACTCTTGCCCGGAAAAGCCAAACTCTCCTTGATAATATCTTATCTTTTTTTTGCCTTTTCTTTCTATTTATCATTCTGGCATAACCGCACATCATTTTGTCTTGCCTGCGAGAGTTTCATGTTTCATGGGCGTGCTTTCTTCCGTCATGACGTTTATGCTAAGCTTTTTGGCTCATACTGTTTATTGCCCCTTGCAGAGAGAGCAAGCATTCATTTTTTTTTGTTGATTCTGGCTTTTTCAATGTAATGCTGTTTAGAGCGCGCAAGTTGAAAGCAGAAGGGTTAAGAAGGCCAGGGGACAAGGCTAGAGAAAATTGGAGGAAACCTGTATTTCCTTCCCATCTCTTTCTATACACACAGAGAGAGGAACGAAAAGACAAGAAAAGAAAAGAAAAGAAAAGAAAAGAAAAGAAGAGGTTATTCTTGGTACGGAGAGGGATCTTTGACAAACAGAAATTTATTTAAAAGGTCGATACAGCAGGCATTGTTTAGTGGATTTATTACTGGGAGGGAATTTGCCGCCAATTTTTTTTTTATAATATGACAAAGATAAGGAAGATGGGAGAAAAGGAAGAAGGAGAATTGAGGAGGAGATACTCCTGGACTGGTATTTGAGATTAATGTCTTGTTTTTGAGGGAAATAATAAGCCTACATTGCATCTTTTTGCATCTTTTTTTCTGTTTCATTATCTATTTTTTTGTTTACTACATTGCACGCTGAGAATGATGACGTGGAATGAGATGAGGTTTTGATATGTAGATGCGGTGTTCATGTCCTCAATCTCTTTCTTTTCATTGGTGTTTCTTATGGGGGTTTGCAATATGCACCTTTCTATCATAGTGGCGTTTTAAGGAACTCGAGTGAAGCAACCAAGCAAGCAAAACAGATTAAGAGAGACGTTATCCGGTATCTCAGCTCCATTATCTGCACTCGGGCTATAGCGTGGGCTACTGCTGCTGCTACTTCTGGTGTATATAACAATTATAAAATGTACCTATGTATAGGTAGTTAAAACTGCTTTATGAGCTACAGCTGGGGTGCTGTAATATAACTAAGGTACTGGATAATAGAACTGGGATGCTGGATACCTTTCCCTTGCATCAAGTAGCCAAAGCCCTTTCTTGATTCAGAACAATATCACACATTTATTCATACGCTGCTTCCTACCTATTCATCTTGATTGCTTACAAAAGTAAAGAGGCTGATCAAGACCAAATCTCTGTAACTTGACGCCAACAAGGGTTCGGATTTCGATTTTGCATTAGAAACAGACGACCAGACAGATTTTCGGGCTGTCAACGTACTCGTTCCTTCTTGGCTTAGATAGCCGAGCTATACAATGTACAACTTGTCTCGTAAAGTTTACCATACTAAGGTAGGATAATTAATTTTGCACTGCTGCTGCTGATGTTGTTGCTGTTTGCCATGTAAAGTAATTTGTAAAGTACCTACCTATCTTTATCAATGGCTTTGTTGCAACTGCCAAAAAGTACCTACTCAGCCGAGGTACGTGCGCGTATAGTTAGGAACCTTTTCTTTCTTTACTTCTTTACTTCTTTCCTTCCTCCTCTGCCTCTCTTTGTTTCTCCTTAAACATTTGCATATGCAGAAATTCATTCTCCAGCACGATAACCACTTCTCTTCTGCTTCTCTTTGCTTCTCTTCTGCTTCTCTTCTGCTTCGATATCTGAATTAGTATTACTTGAATACTTTCGACCGAGCTCCTCCCAATCTTTCCCACAGGCTGATCACCTGTCTCAACATGGTGTCACCAAGATTCAGAGCAGTAACACGAAGCTTCAGACACATGCCGAGCTACCGCCGGTACCTGAACGCAAATCCCATCACTGGTCGCAAAGAGCGTCTTGACGATCTTATGCCCAGTCTGCAATACAATGCAGTAAGCATTAGTTCATCTCTGTCGGTTTCTGGAAGATGCCTTGGACTAAAAGAAACTCGTCTTCATAGAGCGGCCAGCTGATACTCGCGCCCGGCGAGGTCTTCTGTCGCTGGCGAAACGACGACGGTACTTTATGCAAAAGGGTAAGTAAGGGGGGAAGATTCAAAAGTTCTTTCTGCGGCTGGCATGTTGCATTCGAACTAAGGCAAATTGATTTTTAGAAGACTGCCCTATCTTCTATCAGGAGCTTACAATACCACTATAACAGCCAGCATGGCACCCGCGTTGAAATGCGGCGCAAACAATATGAAGTCAGTTCCTCCACCGAGTATCACCAGACAATAGACAGTAAGAACTAGCTCTCGGTTTTCTTTTTTCTTTTCTTTTATTTTCTCATTTGTGCTGATAAGCTGAATTACGTTTAAGACTGGTACCGTACTGTTGTAAATGGGGAGATGCCTCGCTGGGTGCCGCGTAATCCGGCTGATGAAACTGTTGCTTTTGAGACATATGTTTGGTAGGCAACGGAGGTAAGTGTCGAGTGTTTTGAAATCCAATTCTCCATCAAGCCCTAACCAAGATCTAGGAGAGTGATGATGGAGGAAAGGCCAAGGATGGTGGCAATGGGGCAGGGAAGTACATGAAGCGATTCTATGCCAATGAAGAGCAGGAATAAGACAGAGATGAAGCTCAAGACCGGGATGCATAATTCTCTCTTGCAGAGAAAGCGAAGCAGACTTTTAGTTTCTCATGATGATACGATTAGGCCGCATGTTAGAAAGACAAGATTGGTATGGGGTAGCAAGCAAAACACCTTTCAAAAAGACCAATATAATGCACGATATGAAGTTTACATGACAAAGCATCCCGAGATGCTGCGCCATAGAAAGTCACTCTTATTCTCATCATAGCTATTTAGGTAGCTGTTGGTCACGAGGAAGAAAAGATGTAGGAGACAGGGAGGCGGAAGCGGCGCTTTGGCCGCTGTGAGGAATGCTGCCGTTGGCGCGACAATGGTTAGACAGAGGGAGAAGAGTTATCTGTGGTTGACCAGGGCTTTTCGGGTAGTCAGTTGCCTAGGCAAACTAAAAGCTTGTACTACTATTGTGCATGAAATAAAGCGCCGTCAAAGGCCTTGGCGTTGAATAAAGTGCAATTTTGCAGATGAACTGAGAGTAGGCAAGATGCATTTGGCGATGGTTCGAGGTGCGTTGGATTCAGATTCACATTAGATGGCAGTATTTGATAGCCGATGAACAGCTGCCAAGTGTGAATCGCACTTTGAAGAGGCCGACTGCTGCAAAGTGTCGAATACTATGCACCTTCAACCATTGTTCTGTAACTCTCCTCATTCTCAACCTGCGACGAGGCCAGCAACAGCACAAGTCTGAGTAGTGCAGAGGCTGATCGATGACATATTCTGATCGATGATAACATCTGATGAATGTCACCTCGGACGTAGATCAACTAGTGTGATTTTTTGGTCCTTGGAATCGATCGGATACATGTGTCGTCACTGGAACGATTCGATTGGACAATGAATGAAACGGGAGTGCCTGGCGGATACAACTTTTAAGCTGCGAGCTCTAATATCAAAAAACCGGTTGTCGATAATGCCATGCGCCAACTGATGGCGAGGCTAATTAGTGTATCATCACAATCACACGTGCAGACTATGCATCTTGGGAGACCCCTGTTGGACCCCACTAAGCTGAGACCTTGATGGGTCGATCTCATGGCAGTTAAAGGAGCTGTCGGTTCAATATCTCAGCTTGTCTATGCGCCAATAAGCGCTGAAGGGACTTTGCATCAAGATACTTAGGTAGGCATAAGGACGTATGAAGTATATGAATCTTTTGGGTGTAAGTGCGTGTACTGTGTAAAGTGTGCATAATAGTGCTCAATAATGATCGTCAAGTCAGCACTTATCCAGTCATATTGCTACTAGCCATCGTCTCCTTAAGAGGCCATCGTATATTCTACATTCTCTCCCCTCTATAGATTTGATACTGCCCAATTCCACGCAATGGCTGGCCGATGCTACCTCGTGGCGGCTACAGCTGCAAGCTCTTAAGCGGAAGATGGCGAGCAGGGGTGGCTGGTCACTCGACCCGCAAAACTGCAGCCCATTATTGGGCAAGTCTCCCAGGCTGCGTCATTTATGGGGCGTGTCGAAGCGCGTCAGACACGCGTGGAGACGCGTTTCTCATCCTCACTGACTGTGGCTCTGACTGTGGCCCTGACTGTGGCCTTGACTATGGCTCTGGCCCCTGCTTGCGCTGTTTGCGTTGTTTGCGCTGAGTCGTCGGGCACCGCCTCAATTCCATCGTACTGAGCTGTGGTGTGTTGCAGTTTGTCACTCGCAAGGCCTGAGGAGAGACTGAGCTTTGATGAGCTCCGGCAAGTGTGGTGGCCAGGAAGCTACACAAAGCCATTGCGTTAAGAATACGACCTTGCGGCGTCGCAGTGTAAGCTGTACGGTGCAGGAGACATATTGCTTGCCAGTATTCGGAGGACTGGAAGTCAGCTGATGCCAAACAATGTGTATCAAGACAGTTAGAATGTGACTAAGGGCCAAGCTGATTAGGTGGTGGTGTTGCGTGAATACAGGAAAGGGCTGTTGCCGAAACCAATAGTTGCGAGCTATTGGTACAAGAAGGAAAGGCATCGCGCTCCCTCTCTTGTATCAGCTCTGTGTGTGTGCTCGTGAAGAGCGGACAAGTTTTGTAGCATCTCCAAAGGAGACTTACAACTCCTATTACGGAACCAAGCGTATTGGTCGTCATTGGTAGCCAAGATAGCTGCGTCATCCACTCAAGGAGAAGAGGGATCGAGATGAATAGATCGGTACTCCTTCCAAAGGGCTTACGGGCGATTCGGGGTGACTATTGCGCTTCAGAGCTAGGGCGGGCGTCTCCCATTAGAGGGAGACAAACATTGACCTCATCCATGGACGGTGACGCTACTGGCATCGTGCACGCATCTCCAAGTTGGCTGACGATCGAAACGTCTTCATCATACAGTACGAGAAGATTGGCCGGAAGAACCGGGGTAGAAGCACAGAAAAGAAGCCGAAGTAACTTGGAAAGAAATCGTGTTACATGGTGGCGTCTTCATGCCGGAACCTGGCCCGGGATCCGCACGTTTTCGGGCATGAAGAGGCAGATCTCATGTGTAGCTGGCATGGGAGGAAAATGCTGGAGCATGGCGCACAAGCTGTAGCGAGACAAGCTCACAGCTCAAATTGTCATCACTTGATGAATTGTCTTATGGAGTCGATCATGTTGGACGGCCTCGAGGGCTTGGTACCTGAAAACAGCAACGTTGGTTCTCAACTGCTGCCCTTGGAGAAGGAAAAGGTAAAGCAAAAGAGGAGCTGAGCTAATCAGGGCGAGCCGTGCCTCTTGGCCCCGGGCACTAATCACGCTCTTTAAGGCCGTTAAACATTGTCATCCAGACCTTGGAGCTTGAAACCAGCAGCTAGTGTGGGTGGAGAGAAGAAGAGGAGAGAATGGGCTGACAGCAGCTGGGTCGAGCAGTCTGCTGAAGAAAGGCAGAGCAGAGCAAAAGGGGGCAACTCCTTCGGCGGGATCGAAACTAGGTAGCCGTAATTCTTCAATGGGCCGGATTCAAGGTTCCCTGGATGGGCTCCTGCTGTCAGGGCGTTGCCGTGAGACAAGACATCGACATCGACATCGACATCGACTTCGGCCTCTTCTTTTCTCGTCTCCCCCGCAAATGCTCTGCAGAAGACGACTTGAGGCTCGCCAGACGCAGGGAGGCCGAGACGCTGAGAGCCTTGGCGAGGGAGCAAGAGCAAAAGGGCCGTGGATGAGGAATAAGCAAGACAAACATGGTCATTCATGTTCTGCATGCGGCACAGTGTTGAGCGAGGCCTGAGCATCTGATTAAGGCGGCAGAGACAGCAAACAGGGCGCAATCCGTACTGTATGCTCCGCTGTTTTTGTTTCCTCATGGCCCTGCTGCAGGGCGAGAGGCGAGAGGCGAGAGTAAAGTGCCTGCAGCTTGAGAAACAAGAGCATTGAGAGGACACGAGGCGGGTTTGCGGGGGAGGCAGTGAACAGTAAGCGAGACGATGAAGTTCAGTTCGATTTCATTTCACAATTTGGAAGTGATTCCAATTCGCTGCGCAGGTACCTGCTACCGGCCGGCCCATTACGCGTCGTGCTCTTGGGCACTGGACACGCCAGTACCAGTACCTGGCGTTGCGAAGAAAAGAACCTGCTGCGTGAATCAGCAAACAGGCGCTCATTTCACTAACGCTCCTCCTTCTATTACTCGTACCCGTGCCTCGCTCGCCGCATTGGGACTTCCAGCGGAAGAGGCCGTGCGAATTAAAAGCACATCGCAGTATGTTTCTCTCCTTTCAAGTACCCCTGCTGTAGCGCCTCTCCATGCAAATGCGTGCTGTTTCACGCTGTTTAGACGCAGCCGGCAGCGCAGCCGGTACCCACGCAGTACCCACGCGGTACATGCGTCAGCCCCCGTCCGCCAGAATGTTCGCCGCATCCGGCCACCGCCAACCCCTGCCCCAGGGCAGCGAAGAAGCTGGGACGGGGCCCCTCTCCAGGCCTTTCCAGCGCCCCCTAAACCCAAGAGGCCCCTCCCCCTGGTCACTGAACACAGCGCTGATGGTTTTTTCTTCTGCTCTCCCATCCCACCCAGACAACGTTCCCACTCGCACGGTGCCCGACGTTTTTAGGCCCTTGGACCCTCTCCCGCTGCCAGTGTCTCTAGTGCCTGAAGGGTCCCTCCAGAACGCTAACGCTAGCACCAAGAACTGCCCCAGCCCCTGCCACAGGCACCGTCCAGCGCTCTCATAATTACTTGCGCCTCGCCCTCCTGCTCTCGCACTCCCAAATTCCTACAACAATAACAACGACATTCTTATTCTTTATTCCTAGCGAATATCTATTCACCACACACGGCTGCTGCCACCCGAAACCAAGTCTTTACTGCTGCTACACGCAATATCATTCGTTCTTTATTCAAACTGGCACCTGAACCGCGTTCATTCACTCGCTTCTCATCGACTCTGTTTGTCCACTCGCGCGCGCGCCACATCCAACAACCAGCAATAACAAGCACAACAACGCATATTGAAGTGTCTTGACGCGCATAATTTCCAAAGACGCTTCTCGCGAGAAGTCTGTCGTCATATTCACCGACCTCTTAAACACCAGTCCGCGAAAATCAACCACTACACCACGCTCAGCCATCATGCTCCTCCCATCCGCCTTCGCTTGCGACGGCTCGCAAGCCGCGCCCACGACCAGATCACACGCTGGTCGCTTCGTATCACCGCCCTCCAGCCCTACGACGCTGTCGGCGCAGTACTCCATCGACAACATCATGAACACCTGCCGCTCTCTCCAGTCTCTCATCACCATGACCGCCTCCAACAACGACCACGGCGCGCTTGCGCCCGCGCCTACCCTGACTCAACTCCCTACGCCGCCTCTCGCATATGCCCCCACGCCCATGAAGCTGCGCCTGCGATCGCGCGGCAGCAAATCAGATGGCAATGGCGACGACACTCCCGTAACCAGGAGGAGGATCGCGAAGCGCACTCCTCCTGCTCCGCCCAGGGGCGCCAACAAACGCCGGCGCGACGTTGACGATGACCTGGGGCGGAGCGATGAGACCGATGTGGACGCTGAGGCCGAGCTGGACGCCGAGTATCTGCAAATGACACGCAGCTCATCCCCATCATCATCACCACAAGCACCTTCAACACCCAAACGCGCTCGCATCTCCCCTGAGCAATTGCCCTTGGGACTCGAGCGCTCTGATTTCCACGACATCCACCTCTTGGAAGGCAGCGCCAACAGCATAGACTGTGAAAAGCCCGGCACCGACCTCCAGGTTGAGGCGGACGGCTCAGAATGGAGCCTTGAGGACGACCGCGTCCTCGTCGAGCTGGTGCTCGAGAAGCTGAGGCTGTCCAAGACGGAATGGCAGGACTGCGCGCGTAGCCTGGGCAAAGACAGGCACAGCGTCGGCAGGCGCTGGAAGAGCCTGATGACCAATGGCGACGTTGGCGTCAAGACGAGAAGTCGACGAGCAAGACTGCACTCTACCTGGCGATGAAGTTTCCAACATTGCACAGTCTTTACCAATCTTTTACCATCCTTCTTGATTTCTTACTTCTTCATATTCTCTGTATGTTTGTGGAAAAAAGACGTTGGCCTCTGATCAAGCTAAGCGGTGTATTATCTTATTAATATGTCTGTCTGTCCTCTTTTGATATTACCTACCTAACTTATAACTGGTCTTATTTTTCCTTTGTCTGGTCAACAACAACAACAACAACAACAACAACAACAACAACAACCGCAACCTCCCCTTGGCTTCTGACTTTGAGCTAAGCTGTGTACCAACACTTTTATCTGCTTGTCAATCTTGTCTACTACTACCTGTATCAGCGCGTCTATTTGCTGTTTTTGTCTTTGTCTTTCTGAAAGCACTGGCGTCGAGGAGAAGGGAACACACAAAGAAAGGGAAAGGGAAAGTTTTTTTTTTTTTTTAAGAAGTAGTATTTGACTACCTACTATCAACCGATCTACTTACAGTGTAGACAACAATGTTGCTTGAGCATACATGTACTTTGGATTTTGAGGAGGAGGCATGCCGAATGGATTTTTAGACTTTTTCTGGCTCTCCATGGATATTTATTACTGGTATTACTACTACCACCACTACTTTTACTATTACTACTACTATTAGTACCTACTTGTCATCTACAAGAAAGGAAACAAACAATATTACAAAATAATTCTAATACTTTACGCGTTTTCGTTTGCTCGTGTGACGTATTACCAACTTGACTGACAAGAACACTAGCCCAGCCCGGTAAAAAGATGGAGGGAATCCATGCAAGGACTATGGGGGAAAAAGAGGTCCGTCTGATACTAATGCATCCCCTTTAACTACATCCATGGGAAAATCCACGTGTTTGTGTGAAACAAAACTTCGCCCCTCCCCCGGCTTTTTGTAGCTTTTTGCACCTCGCCCTTTGTTAAATGTAGATACCAGCCCTTTTGTTCGAGGGAGAGAGGTAAAACGGAGTTTTTCATACTAAGGATAAGAAAGATAAAACTATGGGATTCACCCGCCTCTCTTCCAGAGATTTTCAACTATTGCTTTTAAGCTTCCCACGCGCATCATTCATAGAAGCCTGTGACTATTTCTCTTATAGAAAGCATACGTTTATAATACGATTCCACATGAGATATGATTTCTCGCGGGTCATCTACTTGGAAGGGAGTTTTTGACTTTGTGAGTGTTGGCAAAAACCAAAAGGCTGGCTGTTTCTCCCGCCCTCCCTTTTGCACACAAGTCACCTGCCAACTGGACTGTTTCCCAGCCATCTTATGAGGAAGAGGCTGGATAATGCTGTCACATGGCTTTAATTGAGTGACTGAGTAAAGAGTCACGAGGAAAATGGGTAATGAGTGCCACTGTTTCTCTCTCTCTCTCTCTCTCTCTCACTACATATATGTCTATAATCAAAAGAGGTAGCAGAATTAGCAGAGATGTATAAACAGACATTCACATTTAATTGGCAGAGAACATCAACGCACATAGCAAGCTCATCATGCTCGTATTAACATCATCATCTCGCTCTATATGCGTACTATCTACCGTGCAACTCCACAATGCTGAGGTTAAGCCATTCAAGTTTCCTGTGGCCGCTTCCTTCCAACCTAACACGCCCAAAAAAATACTACTCATTAAAAGGAAAAAGAAAAAGAAAAAGAAAAAGAAAAGGGTGAAAGAGGGTAGTCTAGTGCCGATCCATATTGATGATGCACCAACGATTCCCTTTGACTCATCTCCATATCGTGATTTTTTATCCATGTATGCTTACTATGAGACAATCGATCGATGGACCAACATACGATACGGAAAAAAGAGAGGTCGAAAAGTACCAAAACAAGCTAAGATGTGTCAACGCCATTGCAACAATCATGCTGCCAACCATTTCGTGGTCCTTCTGGAACACGTCCTCTAAGGTGTCTCTTTTCTAAAAACAAAGCGAGAAGACCAGACTATTAGCCCAGCAGTGGCTAAAATGGGCTGCGCTGTCCGTCCTACGGGGGCGTCATTTGCTCTTCCATCATCTTGCGCACTTCCTGCTCGAGATTCTTGCTCGCCTCCGCGGCGGATTCTTCAATCACGCCTGTAACCTTGTTTGCCAACTCAATTTTCTTCTGGCAGGCCTTGTAAATAAGCTCCTCAATAGTGTGTGTTGCGATGAGCCGGATCACCTCGACGTCTCGCTTCTGTCCAAGACGGTGTGCGCGGTTCTCTGCCTGGATATCGTCTTGAGGATTGTCCGACTGGTCAAAGATGATAACCTTGTTGGCGGACGTTAGGTTGATGCCGGTACCACCCGCACCAGTGGTCAGTAAAAATACGGGGATGCTAGAGTCTTGATTGAATTCATCAATCAGTGTCTGTCGCTCACCCACATTAGTGCTGCCCGCGAGCACGCGGTGATCAATGTCTTGATGCGCAAGCACTTCTTGTAAAATCTCAATGATTCGTGAAAATTTGCTAAAGACCAGGACGCGGTCGCCATTCTTCTGGTATTGTTCAATCAGCTCCATGAGCTTTCTTATCTTTCCACTTTCGAGTCTTGTTGTAGGCGCAATATCGAATTGCTTTAGCAAGCGGGGATAGTCGCGACACCAAAGATGAAGCTCAAAATCTGACGAGTTTTTCAGCTCCTGAATAAGATGTTTGATATCAGGTTGATGGAGTTCAGACTGATCGACCCGATCCATTAATATCTTGGCCATCTCCGTAACCTTTTTGTCTGTGAAATGGCGGCGGAAGAGCAGAGGATGCAAAGCTGCTTTCCGCAGCTGTATCCAGACGTTATTCTGATCGTTTTGTCGGCCGCGGGATTCCCTTGCGCCTCGTTGGGATGGCTCCATCTTGAATAGTTCTTCGTATTCATCGTATACTCCCTTTTGCGCTTCGGGCATGTCGCAGTGGACGACGGTACAGATCTTGCGAGGCATATCAGACAATACCTGATCTTTGCGACGTTGTAGGATAAAAGGTTCGAGAATTGTCCTCGCGCGCTTGACCCGTTCACTATACAGGAAAGCGCCATTGGTAACATCGCGAATCGTGACTTTTTGACTAAAGATGTATCTGATTTGGTTCATATAACCATCAAAGAGTCTGGGGTTGATGAAATTGAGAAGCGCGGTCATCTCCAGCAGGTTATTCTGAACGGGAGTGCCTATGTTATCATATCATGTCAGCAAACTCCTGTTGATCCCCCCCTCCTTATTTTAGATAAGATATGCCAAGCATCATTATGCTTGCCATTATTATCACTTACCCGTAAGGAGCATCTTCCAAGCAGACGGGATTCTACGAAGATCCTTGTAAGTTTTGGTCTCCGGGTTCTTCATCTTGTGTCCTTCATCAAATATGGAAGCGTTGAGGTCGAATGACTGCATAGCTCCAATATCCTCTTCGGAGTTAATCTGCGAGTATGTCGCCAGGACAACATGATAGGCTTCAGGTTCTTGCTCGACCGCGTAGGCAATCTCCATTCGCTCCGTTTGAGACCCTCGATATCCTATTACGGATAACTCTGGCGCAAATTTCTTAAATTCGCCAAGCCAGTTGTTGTATGTGCTGGGAGGCACTACAATCAAGTTTGGCCACGGTCGTCTTCCTTGAGGACTACTCTCGTACTCCTCAACAAGGTGACACATGAATGAGATCACCTGGCAGGTCTTGCCGAGACCCATCTCGTCGGCTAGGATACAGCCAATGTCGTTGTTGTAGAGGACCGACATCCAGTTTAAGCCGTAAACCTGAAAGGGTCGCATAACACAGTGGCCATCCATCATCTGTGGCTGACTAGGAATTGGCGGTTTTGAAAGTTTGGTAGTACTCAAGCTGGTCGGTGTCGGAGGGGCGTCGTCTTCAAAGGGAGTCGATCGTGCGCTGCGTTTGTTTCGACCAAACATGTTGATGTCCCACGTCTCTAACACGCCTTTGATTGCCTGGCCCTTGACCTCGCATTTCGTCACGACCTGATCAATGGCTGTCACTGCGTCCGTGAAAATCTGGATGGCATCCACAACTGTCTCTCCGATACTTATTCGAGCAGATTTACGAGCACCTGGCTTCTTGTTGACACTGACTTTCCTGGCCTGCGTCAGGTCGTAGAAGGGTCGCTTAGCGATGATTGGTTTGAGCAAGTCCTCTTTCATGCCCGTGATGGCGGCTAGCTCTTGGGAGGTACTTTCATTGATACAGACAAGCACCTTGTCATCAATTTCCCCTGAAGCCTCTGGCGATTCCTCTGCTTGATACGTGTCCTCTCTCCCGTCGTCCACCAAGTCTATAATCAGCGGGTCGTCGCTTGAAGCCTGTGCCGGTACTTCTTCTATCTCTGGCTCAGGTGCTGGTGATGTAGATGCTCGTCTCTTAAGGCCTTTCATGAGTCGGCGTCTCGGTGGCGGAGGCTGTGGCCTAGGAGGGCTTGACGGGAGTGAGGCGACTGAAGCGACTGAAGGCGAGGGAGACCGCGACGGGGCCCTGGACAGAGAAAGCATTTGTCCCTTGGATACCAATCGCCGAGTGCTAGATGGTGTTGACTTTGCAGGCCTTGCGTTTGCAGGCTTGGGCGCGGGTTGCGAGGTTCGGGCCTGAGCCGAGCGCGGCACATTGCGTTCTAGCCACGCAATCGCATCGTCCAGATCGTTGCCGCAACTCCTAAGTGCCTCTCTAACCTTGTGCGACGGGAATCTGTCTCCAAAAACGTCGAATATCTGCCGCAGCCGCTTGGTCATCTCTTGCTCGTCAATCGGCTTGTATGCAAAGGCTGCAATCTGGGTTTTGAACGTCGTCGGACGGATGTCCCCTCGCGGAGGGGTAATGTCGTCTTCATCGTCGGAAATGAGATTGATCGGCTCTGGAGTCGGTCTCCTCGCGGGAGCGGCCTGTGTCTGGGGGGGCGGGCGAAATACTGTACCAGCCGGTGCCAGGCGGGAGCCCAATCGCGTCTGCTGCAGCTTCGCTTGGAACGGTGACGAGGCGGGCACTTCGACGACGCTCGCTGCCGGGGACGAAGATCGCACCATGGCGAGTCCTGGGCGACTGAGCACCTGAGTCGGTTGAGTGGTATCGCCGTCTTTGAGAAAGACGGATGGCGAGCACGGAATCGTGTCTCCCGCAAGTTCATCCATGTCGTCGTGTGGTCGTCCCTGTCTGAGAGAAGGCGTTCGAGGCACAATGCCCAATTGTGAAATCGGCGGCAGTGGAGACGAGCTGCGTGCCATGATAAGAGCAAGAGGAGAAGAGAGGAGAAGTAAAGTCGTCAGGGAAACGAGGTGCGGAGAGGGGGCGCTTAATAAAAAGCAGAGGAGCAAATTAATGAGGAAAAAGGCAACGGAAAGTGACAGCTCTTGGTTGTAAAAGTGAGAAGGAAAAAAAAAAAAAAAAAAAAAAAAGCTCCTGTCTCTCCGCTGGCGATCTAATGCAAAGCCGAAATGAAAGTGAGACGGAATTGAGGAACAACAAAGCAAAAACAGGAATCTAAGTCTAATGAATCCAAAAAAAAAAAAAGAAAAAGAAAAAAGAGAAAGAGTAAACCAAAAAAAGTTTAAAATCCCCAAGAGCCCCCGCTTGCCAATATATTTCGGATCACAGGTGACGTAGATAAGGTATAGATAGATCGTGTCCCGAATTATAGAAGAGGTGAATCCGCAGCGGGTGCTGGGGAGGAGCAGCCGCAGCAGCAAAGAATTGTGGCCCTTTTTGGCCTTTGAAATAAATTTTCGTGACGATCCGGAGACGCGCCGTAGTGAGAAACCAGAGTCGCGAAGTCACGTGACCACTTTATGCTCGATCTGGGGGTGGCTGAAAGATAGAGTAAAGTTACCTAGAGAGAGCTTAGGAGGACAACATCGCCTCTTTTAGGTAAAAGCAGTCGACGACAGATTCGAAGCTCTCGACAAGGAGAATAAAGAAGAACAAGAAACAAAGACAAGGCTCAAGACAGACAAGACCCCGGAAACAGACGAGAAGCAACGAATTGGCCTCGACCCCCGTTTCATTTCACACTTCCTAGCGTCCGTAGCTGGGACCCTCTTGTGGCGAGAGCTCCATCAAGCTCATCTCATCCAGCACTAAACTTCATTCTCACTCTCATCCTACCTCAGCGCTGTCAACCCACGCAAAGAAAGGTTTCAGCCATCATCCCCCTTTTTGTCTCGACATCACCAACAATGGCTACTCGCCGCATTGTCAACTCGGAAAAGACAATCCTGGAAAAGGATGACACCGCCGAGGAAAAGTCCAACATCAGCCCCGCTGTCCCCAAGTGAGCTCACTCTCTTAAATCTCACTGCCTCTTTTCACTCTTTCTATATCCAATTAGCCGTGACAGTCTTATTTCAAGTGCAAACATCTAATTACTCTTCACTAGCGATGTCATTTTCAAGCTCCTCGGCTTCTCAGCCGCCATGATTATCGTCCCTATCGGCTCATACTTTGCAACCGTCCACACAGTCTTTAACGGTAAGATGCTGCCCACGCATGCCATCCATACATGCAAATTAGCCAGACTTAGCTGATTGCTTTGTAGGAAATTCATCGATGGCCGGTGGTATGGCTGCTGTTCTGGCCAATGTAGTGCTCATTTCATACATCATTGTAGCAATGAAGGAGGATCAAACAGAATCCAAACCTGAGAGCAAAAAGACACAGTAAATAGCAATGTACAGCAACGCCATGATTGTTTTATTATCACATTTTTCTAAAGTAAGAAGCAGAAGCAGAAGCAGCAGCGGCTTGTTTCCAATTAGACAGGAAAAGGGAAAGAGGAAATAAGAAAAAAGATAGGCAATATCATAAGCAAGAAAGATAAAACATCGCCTATTCATTATGTTTATAAAAGCCTGTCGCCACCCACAGGCTAGTCTTTGTAATCTCTCTTTCAGGCGACCACGTCTATATGCCACAATGAGCTTGGTAGTTGATTGTGGATGAAATGACTCAGCATCATTGCCATGAACAGATCCGTGCTCTTGTCCGGATCTAAAGCAGATTATTATTCTCCGCCAGAGCCAACGGCAGGGATTTATAGACACCACAAACGCCACATACAAAGCTTATCCGAGTATGTACCCATCCCTTTCCACAATGTCATGTGCTAAACGCTCCTAATATAGAGCTTCAAACAAATAGGTTTCCCAACGGATCATAAGAAGACGAACAAGCAAAAGAAAAAAAATGACGACATCCGCCCGCCCGTATACGTCTCTCCCCCTGGCTCCTCAATGGGGGCGTTATTATAAGCAACACTCTTGATGAAATACATGGAATCTTTCTGCCCCCCCTCCCTTCTCCTCGGAAAATAATAAGAAAGAACCCAATCGTGAAAAACGTAAAGAAGCATGAAGCTTTTCCCATGCGCAAAATGAGGGAATGTAGTAGAACGAGTCAGGCCAAGGAAAATGTACAAAGGAAAATGCGAAGGAATGTTGAAACGGGTATTGGGGTATTGACTTTTTCTTTCCAGAAGACTTTAGGCATTTTTGCTGAATCGGCGGGAAAACCAGCTCTTTCGCTTGTCTCCTCCCGACGGTGTCGTGGAAACCTGCCTCTTAAGCGTTGAAACCTGCTTTCTTGGTATGGTCGGGATGGGATTTTGGTAGCTCGCGTTTGGAGGTGTCGGTAGACCATGGCCCTTTGCAGGAGGCGACAAGTTCACCGTCAGGGCCGGAGTCTTGTAAGACTCGGACTGGTTGAAGTTGATATCGAACTTGTTCGCGCGCTCATCCGCGTGCTTAGCTGGAGAGGCCCGATGGATGGAGCTGTTATCGCTGCTAGTAGGATCGGTCTGATAGCCCGCAGGATCGGAATTGCCGCTGGCGGCTGCAGATGTCACGGTCTCGTATGAGCGATCTTTGTGAGGTAAAGGATAGACGTTTTGCTCTCGACCGTAGGGTCGAAGGTGAGAATCGGAGGGCATCTTTGGTGCGCGCTCGCGCGATGGCCGTCCATGGCCCCCCTGGTTTCGGTTGTAGCCGCTGGGGCCTGCGCTCGTGGTATAATAGCCTCCATTGTTGTTGCTATAGTTTTGGATGTCATTATAACTGTTCCTCCCTGAAGCTGGACCGGGCGCTTCATACTGGCTACCGTGGAAAGAGGCCGCACGACTGCCATAGTAGCTATCTTGGGGAAATCGTGGTTGGGTTGCTGAAGCAGGGTGTTAGAACAACCGGAGAGAAAAAAAAACCTAAAATAACGACTACTGCGGCAAACTTACGTTTATAGTAGCTGTTTCGACGGCTAAAGTTTGCTGAAGGGTCTGTGTCTAAAAATAGGCAAGAATATTAGCTCCAATACGTCTTTCGATATAAAAGCTTCTTAAAGATGAAAACTTGCCTGAGCGATACATGGACCTACGCGCATAATCGCCTTCAATCGCCGCTTCGAAGCTTCGGATGGTATCGAGAGGACGCTCCCAGCGGTTGCGAGTCGGGTTGGATAAATCAGGGTCGGCTGAAAGAAAGCAGATGTCAGCAACAGCTACCATTGAGGTCTGTTTGAAAAACACGTACCAATTACGTTCCCGTATGTATCTTTGTGTTGAATGGAGCGCAGCGGAGAGAGTGATGTGGCTGCCATCACAGCTTCGACAGCTATTTCACCTCATATCAGTATATACGCGCGAAAACAAGGGACTGGGCGAGCAGATGGCCCAGACGCGAAATCGAAAGAAGAGCAACGTACAAGGCTCCGCTTCGTTCATGGCCAACGTGGGATCGGCCTTGCTGTGGAGGCGTCTAGAATCCTTTTCAGCGTGCGTTTCGTGCAGGTCGATCTTGTTGGTGACGCTGTTCTTGCGACCTTTGTCGGAGAGGAAGCTGAAGCGATGCGAATTGGACCGCGGCTGTTGCTCCGACTGGGAAGCGGCCTGCTGAGTAGGCGTTGGGAGAGGGCGCTCCGTGTTTGCGGGAGTCGCCATGGTGAATCTGGGACCGGAGCTTCTTTATCTTAAGCTGGACGAGATAGCTGGGGCTCTGTGACGGCGGTGCCCAGGGCACTCGGCACGGTCGTGGGGATCGAGCGATCAGTGCGGGTCGCAAAGATGTGGATGGTAATCTTGCTGTACTAAGAGGAGTCCTCTCGTCGTACAGTCGTACTAGTAATAGCAGGAGTAATTAATGTTACGGGGGGGACCTGGCCCAAGCACAAACGGGGCGGGCACGGCTCGACGGCAACGCGAGTCGAAACAATGCGAGAGGGAGAGTGAGCGTGAGCGTGAGAGGCGCGAGCAGCGGCGGCGCAGAGTCCAAAAAGAAGCGAAAACACGCAGACACAATTCCTCAGAAAAGAATGTCGTGATGGTGTTGAACAAGCTCTGGCGGGGACTGGGGAGAGAAAAGAGGTTGGCGGCACAGAGGCTTGGGGGCAAGGCGGACGATGTTTTCGGAGCCTTTGGCTATCAGGAAGTGGAACTGGACAGCCTGTAAGAAGCTGTCGCCCAGCGGCTTGTGGTGCTAGAGCTGCGTGGCAGTGGGTGACGATAGACAGGCAGCGTCTTAGTGCGAGCAGCTAGCAGAGGGACAGGCCGGGGGGGCGTGTGCGCAGTGCTGCAGTCTAGAGTAGAAGAGTAGAGGGCTCCGTGCGACCTCGAGTTGCAGTGCTGGTATGGCTGGTATGGCTGGTATGGCGCCGTACTTGTACATACATCCAGGGCCAAGGACCAGTTCCCGCTGGAGGCTGGGCCTGTGACAGGGCTCAGAGCGCGGTGACGTTTGGACAAGAAAGCACGAGCTCTCAGCCAAACGGTTTGGCGGTGCAGGGCTGTTTGTGCCAGGGGGCAGAGGATAAGGACGAGGACGAGGCGGAAAGGGGGAGAAGGAAGAAACGGGGAGGAGGAGGTGAACCGGAGGGAAAAGAAAATAGTAGAAGGCGAGGTGGCGAGCCCGATGATGCTGCTGCTGCTGCTGCTTGTCGCTCTGATGCAAACGACGATGAAGATCGACCTATGAGCTGTAGCGTGTCGTTGCAAACAAACAAGCAAGCTCGTGTGGCTGAGCTAAGCTTAAGCTGAATGGGTGCCACAGCTTGCTCTCGTTTTGCCTCTTGCTTTCTATCTCCTGTCTTTTTGTTTTCGATTTTCGAATTGGAGGCTAATTTTTCTCCAATTTCTTCTTCTTCTTTTGCCTTGAGCTTCTCCCTCTATCTCGTTTATGCTTCGATTCCCACTTGTCCAAGAGCGAGCGAATTAAACGTGCGCGGAAGGTCTTGTCCTTCTGCCCTGCCG